GAGGGCGTCCTTCAGAAGCCCACGGAGGGTGGTACGATGATCGAGGTCGCGGGCATCCTTCGGAAGCTCATGGAGGGTGGCTTGATGATCGAGGACAAGGGCATCCTTCGGAAGCTCATGGAGGGTGGCAAGAGGACCGGGGTCGAGGGCATCCTTCGGAAGCTCATAGAGGGTGGCATGATGACCGAGGTCAAGGACATCCTTCGGAGGCTCATGGAGGGCGGCCTGATGATCAGGGACGAGGGCATATTCCAGAAGCTCATGGAGGGTGGAAAGGAGGCCATGGACATCGTGATCTAGCAGGAGTTCCAGGAAAAGGGCATGCTGGGTCGGGTCGGCATGAAGAAGGAAAGGAAAGTGAGGTTCCTCGAGGAAGGCGCCCGATCTATGGAGGTGGTGGAACCCGAGGTGGAAAGGGGGATTCTCGAGATCGCGGAGAAGGGGGCCGAGCTGGAAGTGGGCATCGTCCTTCGGTGCCAAGTGGAGGCATAGCCCCAGGAGGATGTGGAGGTGTCGGACCTTCGGAGGTGAACACGACGCGCGAGGAAGCGAGGGCATCAACAAGGGCAGGTTTCAGGCCAATGGAGCTCCACATGGTGTGGAACCCAGCAACGAAGGTGTGGTGTCCGGAGGGCAACCTGCCAGAGGGCCTGAGGTATGAGGATGAGGAACTCATTCCAGGGGGAGGAGGAGGAGAGGCGGAAATGTTCGACGTGCAGGAGGCCATGGAAAAGCAATTGCTGCTGGCCTGCCGCATGATCCGGGGGATGGAGATGGAAAGAGACCACCTTAGGGGGACCATCGCCGAGAAGGACCGGCTCTTGGAGATGCGGAACCGCACGATCAACCAGTTCCTGGGTCAGGTCCGGGAGGCCGAGGGCCAGCTTCGAGAAGCGCAGGATGAGGTGTCAGCTTGGAGGTCTTGGTGGAACCGCTGGGAATGGGACGGGTCTCAATGGAGGAGACAGGAAGGCGAATGGAATGCAAATGAGTTTCACACGCCGATGGAGACAGGAGAGAGACATGGAGAAGGTGGAGGCCGGGATCGAACGAGGTCTCCACATCCACCCCCGTATCCACCGAGGCCGAGGACGCCGGATAGGAGGAGGACTCCAGGAGGCACAGAGGTTCCGGGCGGGACACCACCGGTCTCGGGAAAAGGAGGAGGAGCGCTTCGCCTGGAAGGAGGAGGTGGCTATGCCAGGGGGAGAGAACCAAGGGAAGGAGAGCTGTACACCTGGGAGAAGGACTTCGAGACAGGTGGCTTGAGGATGGTGCCGGCTATGAGATCCCGAGATGAGTGGGCGTTGACGTGGGAAAGATCAGAGGAACTCGAGCGGCAGGTTCCAGTGCCGCCACCGGGGTTGGATGTCAAGGCCATCGTAGCCCCGGAGCAGGTGCATGAGAAGGTTGCGGAGACCACGGGGGTGATGGACTCTTGGCCGGAAGATGTGAAGGCGATGTTGGCAGCAGGACAGCTTCGAGAAGAAGCGATAAGGGCTGCGGAATTGCCGAAGTTGCCGGAGCTAGGGGCCAAAGAAGCGGGGCCACTGGCGGCGGGGGACTGGCTAGCGGAGATCCGACCGATTATGATGGACCTTAGCACGAGCGCGGCGGTGTGGTGGGAGCACATCATGCACCACGCGGAGAAGGCCTATCAGAGGTGGTTGGATATGCGGCCGGTGGAGAGGCTGAATGTGGTGCCGGAAGAGCCGGGATGGCTGGGAAAGTACCCTTTCTCCAGGGTGGAGCAGAGAGGGGCCGGGCTTTTGCTTCGGGCGTTGCCTCAGAGCTTGAGACAAGAGGTGGTGTCGAGGCGGACAATGTCAGCAGCGGCTATGGTCTTCAAGGTCTTGACGATGTATCAGCCTGGGGGGCCAGCGGAGAGGCAGAGCTTGCTTAACTACCTGGTGGAGCCGAAGGTGAATGGCAACACGGTTCCGGGGGAGGTGCTGGCAGCGGTTAGACAGTGGAGGAGGTGGTACATTAGGACCACGGAGCTGAAGCTGGCAATGCCGGACCCGTCGCTGCTGTTGAGGGCGCTGGATGGCATGACCAATGGCATTGCAAAGGAGGGGAGCCAGGTACACTTTCGGCTGAGCTTGTTGAGGAACAGCCTTGGGGTGGATGTCTCCCCGACGCAGGAAAGCATCGTGCAGCTGGCGGAGTTCATTCAGGCGGAGGTAGAGGTGATGGTCGCGTCTAAGCCAGAGGAGAAGGGCCCGAAGGTGAAGAGTATGAGGCAAGCAGAGGCGCAAACCCCGCGGAAGGAAGGAGACAAGAAGGTCTGTGGATTCTTTGCGGGCGGGAGAGGTTGCAAGATGGGAAAGAATTGCAACTATAGCCATGACTGGTCGGCGATTGACCGGAAGGCGGATCGGTGCTGGATTTGCGGTTCGCTACAGCACCGAAAGGGGGAGTGTCCGGTCAAGCATGAGGCAGCCGGAAGAGCGGGCACAAGACAAGGAGAGTTGCAGCCGCAGCAGCAGCAGCAGTCGCAGCAGCAAAAGCCAAAGGTTGCGGCGGAGAAGGGGGTTGTGGAGGAGCAGCCAGGGGCGGAGAAACCGGGACAGCGGGGGCAGCATGTCCAGGAGCTGTTGTGTGAGGCGACGGGGTTGCTGAAGTCGTTGAAGACGGTGAAGGCGATCCGAGTCAGGGCGGTGAAGGCCGAGGAGGAGTTCTTCGGGCTGCTGGATGGAGGGGCTACCCATGCCCTTCGCCAAGCCAAGGAAGGAGAACTTCAAGGGGACCGGGTAAAGGAGGTCACAGTCGAGTTGGCGGCAGGGACGGCTCAGTTATGGCAGCAGAAGGACACCCGGACATTGCTGTCACCAGAGAAGATCGAGCCGATTGTGCCGCTGGCAGGGCTGGTTGAGATGGGATATGGCATCACGTGGAACAACAAGGGCTGCGTCGTCAAGCATCCGGCGAAGGGCGACATCAAGGTGGAGATGAAGAACGGTTGTCCAATGGTCCAAGGAGGAGAGGCTTTGCAGCTGATCGAGGACCTGGAGAACTTCAACCTGAACCGGAGGAGGATATGCAAGTTGTCCCAGGTGGAGGAGACGGTGATGGCCAAGTGGAAGGCCAGGTGGGCGGAGGTGCCGGAGGCGGTTTGGGAGGTGCTGGGAAGCGGGCTGGAGATGTGGGATCCGGCAGGGCCTTTCAAGCAGGACTTCCACAAGGTGCTGCCGTGGAATAGAAGAATGAGGAGGAAGGTGGAGGCAGCAAAGAACGTCGTGCTGCATCTCTTTTCGGGCAAGGATCAGAGCTTCTGGCAGGACTCGGCGGAGGTGGTCCTATGCTTGGACCTGCAGCGGGGCCAGGACATCCTTAACCCGGCGGTGAAGGCTTACTTGTTCCAGCTGTGCAGCATGGGCAAGATCTCTGGGATAGTGGGAGGGCCGCCGTGTCGAACGGTGTCGGTTTGCAGATATCAAAGGCCTGGGCCAGAGCCACTTCGGAGCAGGGGAGGCCGGGGAAGGTTCGGACTCGATGGTCTGTCGGCGGAGGAGCAGTTGAAGGTGCATCAGGATTCGGCGTTGTGGTTGATGCCGATGGCGCTCTTCGAGGTTGCTCGGGAGGCGAGAAGCGAGAAAGGTTGGATGGTCCCGGCTTTCGTGCAGGAGAACCCGAGGGACCCAAAGGAGTGGCTGGGAACGGGGGAGAATGGAAAAGGCACCAAGCAGCCGGAACTCGGGTGGGCTACATTTTGGGCCTGGCCGGAGACAGAAGAGTTTGCGGCAAGGCTCGTGGCGAAGCTGGATCAAGGACCATTAGGACACGAGCGGAGAAAGCCGACTACGCTGCTTACCAACCAGGTGGAGGTCATGGCCCTTCATGGTCTGGCTGGACCTGGGGATCAGACCGGCCGGAGTGGGACGGTGGAGGATCGCATCAAGGAGTCGGCAATGTGGGCAGCATGGGCACCAAAGTTGAAGGAGGCGATCAAAGCAAGCCTACAGCGGGTCAACCGGGAGACGCTGGAGGAGGTGCGGGTGAAAGCAGCAAGAGGGCCGACGAGGGATGAGCAGTGGAGGATGCACGTGGAGAACGAGCATGTTCCTCATCGGCGAGATTGCAGGGTATGCATGGAGGCAGCAGGCCGGGCAGGCGCACATCGGAGGGTTCGGGCGCCGAATGCCTTTGTGATGTCGGTGGACATCCTGGGGCCGACCCGAGAAGGTGGAGATCAAGACGGTGCTAAGGCAAAATACGCGGTGGTCACGGTCCTCACGGTGCCGGTGAAGAAGTCATCTGGGGAACCACTGGTTAGGCTGGGAGAGGAAGAGGAAGAGATTGATGGAGCTGGAGAGGGCGGCTTAGGCCCATATCCAGAAGGTGAGGAGCTACCTCGGGGACCTGAAGAATTACCGGTGGAGGAAGAGGATCTCTTCGCGGAGGAGGAGGAGAGGGGTTCAGCCCCGGGGGAGGAGGGTCGGGTTGAGGTAGAGAAGGCAGAGGAGGAGACGAGAAAGTGGAAGGAGAAGATCAAAGACCTGGAAGACGTCGCGGTTCGCAACTTGACGTTCGCAGTTCCGATTCGGTCTCGGAATCGTGATGTGGTCCTTCAAGCAGTCGCGGAGTGCTACAGCAGGTACAGGGCTGCTGGGTTGCAAGTTCTGCGGGTGCACACGGACCGGGCCAGGGAGTTCACCTGTGCAGCTTTCCGGGCTTGGGCAGCGGAAAGGGGTCTGTGGCGCACGGTGACAGCAGGTGATGAACCTCAAGCAAATGGCCGTTGCGAGAGCGAGGTCGGTGTAATCAAGGGGAGAACCAAGGTGCTGCTGGAAGCGAGCGGGGCGCCAAAGGAGAAGTGGCCACTGGCTTTGAGGCATGCAGCAGAGCTGAGGTGGAGGAGTCAATTGCGGGCTTTAGGAGTTCCGCAGCTTCCGCTGGTGCCGTTTGGCAGCCGGGCGATGGTGAAGGTTAAGAGGTGGAGAAAGAATAGGGATTGGCCCCAGAAGTTCGAGCCGGTGCAGGTGTGGGGACCGTCCAAGGATATGGCGCAGGGCTACTACGTGGAGTGCGAGGATGGCTGCTTCGTGCGAGCGGCGGCGGTGGTGGTCACGGTGTCGGAGCAGATCGCGGAAGAGGAGCGGCAAGTGAGGAGGCGCCTGAGGGGGAAGCAACCAGAGCCGGCCTGGGCGGCCGGGGGGGAGGTTGTGGGTGTTGTGGGTGCAGCAGAGGCGGCGCCTGACGCTGAATCAGCACTAGCTCCAGGGGCCAGGATTGCGAAGGCAATGGAGGAGCGGAACGGAGCGGTGGAAGCAGAGATGATCATTGGGGTGGTCGCGACAGATCTCTCCCGAGCGCCTAATGCAGGGGTCAGGTGGCTCACACCCCTGAGCCGGGAGAGACAAGAGCAAGAAGGGGCGAAGGAATGGGAGGAAGAGCTGGTCCACTGGCATGGGAACTTGAAGAAAGTGTGGTGGGAAGAGAAGGAGTTGTTGAGTGGAGAAGGAGTTGAACAGTGGCAGCTGGAGTGGACCAAGAAGATCGCAAAGGACATTAGAAGGTTGGAGGAAACTTTGAAGAGCCTTGAGGGAGAAGAAAGGAGAGTAGTCAAGGCGGTCCAAAGGTTAGAGGAGGAGGAGTTCCTGCAGACTAAGACGATTCCGCTGGACACGATCCGAGGAGAATTGGAGTTGTGGAAGGAAGCCATCGCGGAGGAGTACGCGTCGCTCACTGCCGAAACACAGGCGATAAAGCCGTTGTCAGCGGCGGAAGCGGAGGAACTCATGAAGCACGCGGAGGTGGAAGTGGCGACCGGCAAGGGGGTGTTCACTAGGAAGGCAGGATCAGGGAGAAGAAAGGTCCGAGCGGTGGTCTGCGGGAATCAATTGTCAGGGAAGGAAACTAAGGAAGAGGTGTTCGCGGGAGGGGCGGACAGCATAGCATTGCGGGCCACTCTCCGCAAGGCGGCCTTTGAGCAGTGGAAGGTTGGAACGGTGGACGTGAAGACAGCGTTCCTGCAGGCGCCCAATCAGAGGCAGAAGCTGCTGGTGGTTACCCCGCCCAAGATCTTTGGGCAGGCTGGGGTCACCAAGGAAGGAGAACGGTGGCTGGTCTTGAAGGCGTTGTATGGGTTGAACACAAGCCCAAAGGACTGGGGTTGCCACAGGGATAAGACTATGGCAAGTTTTGGTTGGCGGGTCAATGATGTGGACTTCAAGATTTACCCGCTGGAGGGCAACCTGTGGGCAATCAGGGAGGTGGAGTCCGGGGCCACGGTGGGGAACATCGTGGTGTATGTGGACGATATGTTGGTGGCGGCTAAGGAGGGCGTCATGAAAGGCTTCATGCAGAGGCTGCAGCAGGAGTGGAAGACATCTGCCCCGGAGGTGGTGGAAGGGGGCACTCCGGTTACGTTCTGCGGCATGGAGATCTGCGAGAAGGAAGGGGGATTCTGGTTGGGTCAGTCGGCGTATATCCGGGACCTGGTGGGAAGATACCCCGAGGTGAAGAATTTTGACGTGCCTGCGGTGAAGGTGGAGCTGGCAGAGGAGGAAGAAGTGGACAGAACAGCGGATGATGTTCGGGAGGCGCAGGTAGCCCTGGGGGAGCTGTTGTGGGTTTCGACCCGAACAAGGCCGGATGTGGCGTTTGCGGTGGGTCAAGCGTCTAGAATGGTGGCGCGGAATCCGAAGCAGGCGTTGCAGGCGGCGAAGCAGATCCTGGGTTATTTGAAGGGGACGGATGAGGTGGGCATCATCTACAGGAAGGAGATGAAGCCGAGAGAAGGGGAAGTCGAATTCCCGGGCCCTCAACATATGGGAACGCTGGAGATTCAGGCGGATGTGAGCTTCGCACCAGGAGGAGGACGGTCCATTCAGGGCGTGATGGTGATGTATGGAGGAGGCATCATTGCGTGGGAATCCACAAGGCAGGCGTACACCACGATGTCCACGGCAGAGGCGGAGCTCACGGGCTATGTGCAGGCCACTGCTATTGGAGAGGCGGTGTCATCGTTGGTGGAAATGTTGGAGGTGAAGAAGGTTCGGAAGATGATCTTGGGGGACAATGCGGCAGCCATCAGCATCATTACTACGCCAGCATGTGCGTGGAGGTCGAGGCATTTGAAGTGCCGGGCTGGGAAGCTGACGGAGCTCATCGAGGAGGAGGATTGGCGCTTGCGACATCTTCCGGGAACTCTTTTGGCGGCAGATGGCCTCACGAAGGCGTTGACCAAGACCCAGTTTGAGAAGTGCCGGAGAGGAATGGGCCTGGACGTTTTGGAGGGGAAGAAGGTGAAGAAGGTGCTGGGGAGCAAGCCCAACGGCACGTTCGGAGCTGCGGGATGGTTGGTGGTGGATAAGCTGAAGGCGGTGATTGGCATGCTCAGCCTGGCGGCGGGGGCAATGGCAGAGGAGGTGGTAGAGATTGATGAGGAGTCAATCCCAGTGGAGTTGATCCTCACGGTGGTCGCAGTTCTGGCTGTGGTGGTGTGGGAGATCACCAAGAAGGCCTGTGGGACAAAAGTGAAGAAAATAAAAGGACCGGTTGAAGAACCCAGTCAAGAAAAGAAAAGACCGCGAGAAGAGGCTCAGAGCCCACCGAAAGAGACGGCGGGGAGCGGCACCGCAAGGGGAACTGAGTTTGAAGGGTCTGGACGGGGTTTTCTGGGGGGGAGGACTACCGGCAGTCCAAGAGACCAGGGACCAGGGGAGGACGGGACGGACGATGGGACTTGGCCTGGGACGGGTGCACTTTTGCCTAAGGAGGCACCCCGACCGAATAGGTCATGTAGATCCGGGGCAAAGTCCCAGGAGCAAGACTTGGTGGTAGTGTGCCATGTGCGTGATGGTGCCGGGGGCAAGCAACCGGTGAGAGCGCCGAGGTCAGTCTTGGGCACGGAGCGCATGGAGTACTACCGCAAGATGGAGCAGCTCTCGGAGGACAGATGGGCCTTCTTGGAGGCGAGGAATCGGGGGGTCCCTCTGCATGGACTTCAGGGAGCGCTATGGCATGAAGGAGGATGGAACCCTAGGCCCGGGGGAGCTGGTCAGGGAAAGGAAGAAAGAGAAGTTGGCCATGGGCAAGAAGAGCAAGATGGCCTACAACATGGTCAGGTGGTGTCGGGGGTGTGTCATCGAGAGCGAGGTCAATGTAAGGATCGGGCGGCGGTGGCTGGGCTGATCGAGTTGCGGGGTGCGGCATCAAGCTCGAGCAGAGGAGGGCGCTGCGCTGGAGAGGACAAGTGAGGGCGGGGTAGGCGGTTATGGCATAGTAGCCTTTTGAAACCGGCGGACCCGCGGGTCACTGCGAGAGACGGCTGAAAGGCCGTCATGATGAGTGGATGCAGAGCATCCAGGGGGAGTGTGAACCGTTAATAACACGGGTGCACTCGAAACCGTTGGCTCAAGGAACACAAACAGCGCGGTGCTGCGCACATACAAACAAAGCGGCCCATCGGCTAACCTCGCCGAGGGATGGAGACTCATAGGTTCCGTCATCAACATGGAGGAGCCCCGTCCTCTCAAGAGATATCTCGGCTGTGAACACGAGTTCAGATCTGCCACCGTTGATGGGCCCTTCGATCCGAGAACTGCTTGGACTGTTGGACATCCTCCCTCAAAGCCTATACCCGAGATGCGTTTTGGACCGGACCGAAGACCTGCTGCCGACGCATGTCGCGGCAAAGTCAAGATCAACCTCATCAAATACAACGAATCTTGCTTCATGCAAGCATGTGTTGAACGCTACCTCGAACTATGCCAATCGAAATTTCCTAAAGCTCTTCAGACTGTCGAGACCCCGTTCCTCGACGAGAGCAAGCCCGAATTTGACGAGAACCCGGTAAACCCGGAGTTTGACAAACTCGTTGACCAGAAAGAAGACATCGAGATTATCTCTGCCAGGCCTGGCGTCCTTGGCGACGCAGCAGCACAGGTCTTAATGAAAATTCTGTATGGTGCTCGAATGGGCCGATATGATTTGATCCGACCTGTGCAAGCGCTTGCCAGCAGAATCACGAAGTGGAACCAATTGTGCGACAAGAAGCTTCACAGGCTCGTGTCATACATTAACTCCACTATTGAGTTACACCTCTATGGGTGGGTTGGCGATCGATCTGATATGATTGAAGTCGTCACCTACTGCGATGCTGATCTCGCCGGCGATCGAACCGACGCAAGAAGCACATCCGGGGTCCTCGTGTGCCTCGTCGGCCCCCGCACCTACATGCCCATCACCGCCGTGAGCAAGAAACAGACATCTGTTTCGAAGTCTACTCCTGAGGCCGAAATTGTCGCCCTCGATCACGGTATTTCCACGGAGGCCATGATGCTCGCCGCTCTCTGGCACTTTGCCATCGGTCACGGCTCCTCTGACTCAATCATATGTAAGTGCAAAATCAAATATGACGCCTCGATCCCACAACCCATCAGCGTCCTTGAGGACAATGAAGCTGCTTGCAGAATAATCGTCACAGGCAACAACCCGAACATGCGGCACATGTCCCGTACCCAGCGGGTTGATATCGCGTGGCTCAATGAGCGATATAATGACAAGATATTCCGTTTTGTAGCACGCCCTTCGGACTATCAAGGAGCCGACATCCTCACCAAGGCGTGTGTCGACAAGATCGTATGGAGCAAAAATCTCCACACCCTTGGGATGTTCAAGCAGGGGTTTCTGCAATCATATCTCTCCCACCCCACCCAACCCGTGCATATTCCCCCTGCCGCTCCTGCTCTTCCACCAATCAGGGGGGTTCGCATTGAATCCGATCATGACTCAAAGTTCAACGCCTTCATCAACGACGCCAACATCTCAGATTGCAGGATTTCAATCAACGAGATTAGGGCGTCTGAGAATGACAGCCTGACCGTCGTCATTGACTCCTCTGTGTTGCCACTCTTGCCCCCTCAGCGCGGGCACAGAGTCGTAAAAATCGATCTCGATGATGGTGGTACCGGAGGGATCACTACGTATACTGGGTTAAAAGGAAAAAGAGATAATTTTGCCATTTTCAATATTTTTCCTTCATGCCCGGATTCCTGCAAAAGGGATTGGTCCAAGATCAGGAAGTTCCGTCAGAAGTGCGACGCGCTTACTGCCTCTACTCTTGCCTTTGCCCTGAATGCCATTCATCACGATTTTGGCATTGTTATTGGGTTTGGTGGTGACCTACCCGGACTCTGTATTCAGAAAATCCGTCAATTTATTGATGACCATGACCTATATAGGTCTAATCTATGCAGTTGCCAGGTTGGAGCTCACGGTCACGCCACTATTGTTACCGTTGCCGTGAACAAACGGACCAATGATCGATTGCGCTTTGTACCATGCTCCATCTCGCTTCGAAACGGGAAGGATGATTTCTCTTTTCACGATGTTGCTTGGGAAAAGATTTTCGAAGGAGTTTTCGGTTGATGTCTTCGATCTCTTTTGACCCATTGTACACATGTTGCTCGCCATGCAGTATGGGATGATTCTGAGCGTATTACATGCCGCCTTTTGGCTCTCCCAGCTGAAAACGGCTTCCTCGGAAGCCGACATCGGCAAGTGACGCACATTACTGATCACCTCAGGACCTTACGGAACTTCCCCTACACGCGGGGCTTTGACCTTTTTCTTGATGGTACTGTCGATCTTGAGAATGTGTATGATTCCTCATTTGATCTGGTTGAGCTTCTCTACCTCATTTATCTATGTGAACCCGAGTGTTGCACGTAGCCGCCTCGCCTCGCGCTCTGGGCCGCTGCTGCGACATTCCCTGGCCCGGGTGACCCGGCCTTGGCCGCCGGTCGGCTGCTGGTGATCTTCACCACTTTCACGCACCGCTGCTGTGCGGCCATTGGTGATCTCCATCGCCCTCCTGCACCGCCGCCGGCGGTCGCCTTGAACCACTTCCTACTTCCGTTGCATCAACGCGAGTTCTGTGATATGGCTTCCGCGGAGAGCGGGTCGATCACAGGGGCTGAGCCTGAGAAAAGCCTCCCCACACCTCGCAGCGCATCCTCGTTGCGGTTTCCCTACACTGTCACCGGCCGCGTCAGAGCCGTGGCCAACATCCTGCAAAACAGCTTCAACGGCTGGGTTTCCAAGCTTAACGGGCGTGCGGCCTTAAAGGCTGCCCGTTTGAGCGATGTGATCACCGGAGAGCAGGTGGAGACTATGATCAATGGTCTCGTCAAGTGCGACAGTTACGACTCCTTTCCCGAGGATGTTAGGACCAAAATCCTAAATTACCGGAGAGGTAGGGCGGCTAACATCGTTGCCCTGCTCAAGGATTCTGGTTTTGTCGCAACCGAGCACAATGCCCTGACAGCTGCGGCAATTCTGTGCGATGCGATCCCTGTCCGTGGCTCTGCCACCCATTGCATCCCTGATGCCCGCATAGCGCCGCTCGGGATTGATGATGAGGCGAATGACGTCGACGAGGGTGGTCTTCGTCCATCACGAATGCCGACGGGGAATTGAAGAAAAGCTGGAGGACTGAGTACTCGGCGGTCAGGCAGAACCAGTACAAAAGCTACGTCGGCTTCACGCACGACTGCTACGACATGGCTGATCCGCGTCGTTCCCAACACATGGGAGGCATCAGCAGCTTTACTCAGTACGAGCCCTCCATAGTGAGAAAGTGGCTACAAATGCGCCCCCTTGCTATGTTTGTGCCCCCAGAGATCGTAGTTGACGGCATCTCCCTCATTAAGGATAGGACCTTGGAGGACATCATCAACATGTGTCAGGACAGGGCCGCTAGCAGATCGATCGACCATCTGCCGTCTATGGAGGCCTACGGCGGGTTTGGTGCATTTGCGGAGCACATGACCTCTGAGCTCAAGCACGGTACTTGACCAATTCTTCCTGTGGGAAAAGGTTGAGAGGCTCGCCACCCCCGGGGACCAACGTGGCCCACGACAACGGCATCACAGCCGGCGAGGGGTACTGGATCGTACCTTCTCTCTTGTCCATCAATCATTGACGCGGAATCCCCGAATTGGAACCACTGGCAGCAGGGGACTCAGCCAATTCTCCCTCTGGGCCTCCATCGCCCATGAAGAAGTGGTGAGCTCAGAGTCCAAGGACAAACTCGGGATTTGGACGTCGCTGATCTACAGCCAAGCGCTCGGGTACACCCCGTGGGCGCACTACGGCCAGGGAACTTGGGCCCACTTTCCTTCATGCTCCCCGTGGACGCTGCCAGCGGCGACAACCCCCGCGGGGACAAAACGCGGCGTCTCATGTTGGCTATCTTCGCTCTCGCCATCAAGTTCTCCCATGACCTGGAGTTGATCACGGGTGGTGAGGGGTTCTCCACGTGTTACTCGAATGGAGACAGTGAGCTGCAGCGGTTCAACCCTTGCATTGAGGTTAACCCCTGCTCTCCATCGCTCTCCTGGAGGAAGCGCGCCTTCTTTCAGCCTAATGCCATCGGGGAGATCGGCGCGACCAAGCGCGAACTGGAGCGAATGGCTGCTCCTAGCACCCCTACGAAGACTGGTGGATTCAGCCCGGAGTTCGCCAGGCATCGCCTTGTCAGCAACACCTACGCTGTGAAGGTGCAGGAGGCTGGGTCATCGATCCCATTTGCACTTGAAAATGAGTACCCGAAATATCCGGGTTACATCATGGATGAGCATTTGGCGCCATCTACCATATTCCTTGACATCGACAAGATGATCGGAAAGTACAAACAGGAGTGGATCACGAACCCCGAAAGTGATGTGCTTCCTAGCCTGAGCAGGCCCAAGACCTCTCACCTGACTACGTACGACCAGAGCGCCCTCGAAAAAGAGTGGATAGGTTGGGGAAACCAAATGTTCAGGAACGTCATCCTGACCGTATTCCCGGAGTTCGCCCTCACATGCATTGATTCTGATGTTCCGACCATACCGTCGGTGTTGAAGGGCCTCCTGCCTATGAGCACAACTGGAATCACTGGTATCCTCGCCGCAATAGCGGCGGGATGGGGGCCTCCCACATATCTGGAGGAGCCAACGATCAAGGCCAACGCCCAGGTGCTTGTTTTCTACGATCTTTGCTTTGCATCGCGTGGGAAGACCAAGAAGGGCTCGTACATCACGGCGGACGAATTCAGTACGCAATTGGACATTCTCCGGTCCACTGACAGTGGGCCGCGAAAAGGGTCCACCCCGAAGGTCCAGTTCCACTGCCCATATGGGGATCATGATTACCACATCCCCATCGCCACCCTGGTCGAAGAGGCCTCACGGCTCATCCATGACCGCGAGAAAGCGGTTGGAAGGGAGGCCATGGAGTATGACACCTGCATCTTTGCGACCCGCCTCCATGACCTGGCCGATTGGGATGAGAAAAGAAGGTGTCGGTCATCAAGAGCAATGCGCAGACCCTCATCCACCTCACCCTGGAAAGGCTTGAGTCCGTGAGGAGGGCTGGATCGAATGTGGTGATCCTCATTTCGGTTGCGTCGTGGCTTCAACCCGCACGTAATACAAACATGCTCGGCGTCATCACGACCTTCATCAGGGCAGCGATGAAGAGGAACCTGATCGTGGTTCCTGCGGATTTCGCATTTTGGGGCGACCACTGTGTAGGCAGTACCGGCGCCCCCGCGAACAAGTACAGAGCTGCGTTAGCGCTCCCGGCACTCGTCAGTGCGGCAGTGGACATCTCGTGGACGCTACACCGCGTCATGAGTACGGCCAACGCTGCGAAAACGTTGGGCTTGCTGTACAAGAAGACCATGTACCCGCCCGACGAGGACGCAAAGGTGAAGGCGGAGAGGATTCTGCAGACCAAGGTCTGGGATGATTCACTGACTTACTCTGCTGCCCCGTCAGCAAGGATCGCCGGGGCAGATAGCTCTGGCCAGTCGCATGACGTGGAGATGACTGATGCGTCATCCGAGGTGACGCCCCCCGCACAGGTGGCGGCGACATTGCTCTGAATCCAGGTGACAACCTGTTGGACCTCTAGTTGAACATCGAGTGCTGCATTTGCTACAAAAGGGATGTTTCATCTTTGTCTGGTTGGGCATGCAATGTACTACTTTTAGCATTGCGCGAAAACATGATGGAGTCGGTCCTCCCCCTTTACGTAGTGACAAGGAACCCATGGGTTTGCCTAATCTCCCCAGCGAGATCGTAAGAAGCTCGCTGAGGGAAACGCTCTGCTATACGTCACAGCCCGCATTATTTGGTATTGCCAAGTTTTGGGCATTCCGTATGTTTTGGAGAACCCCTGGTCCTCAAGATGTTGGATTACTCCAATTCTCAGTATGCTTCAGCAAGACGAATTCGCTTACAAGATTGAGCTACATTTCTGCCAATTTCACGAACGCTGGCGAAAGCCCACCGGACTTTTGCGGTTTTGTTGACCTCACCAACCTGGCGCGTGTGTGCAAAGGCAGTTGTTAACTGTTAGTGCCACAGGCAAACCGCATAGGCCTTGCTTCGGATGGGCGTTTCATGACATTGGTGGCTCAGCCGTATCCTTACAAGCTTGTAAACGAAATTGCTGGCATTTTGAAGACGCAGCTGGCAGTTCGCTTGGCGGATAGGGGAGGAAGCTGACTTGCGAAGAAGCAGGTGAATGTTTCTACCTCTTTTTGGCTTCCAGCCAAAGGTCGCCAAGAGCCTTTTAGGGCTTACCTTGTAACAAAGCTGCGCCGAAGATGGTGCATCTGGCCAAACAGAGTGGAGTGCAGGAGTGGCAGTCATATTCATGTTAGGCTGCAGCTTTGATAGCATGCTATTCCTACCTTGGACACGCGTGCGCATCTGATAACCGAGAACTACCTGGAATCTTGGGAGCGGTTTCACAAAGTGATCCAAGATTCGAAGAACGAGGCGCGCAGTAAAGCAAAGCCAAATGAAAAGACAAAGACAAGCGGAGAATATAGGGCCTCCAATAAAGAACGGACAATAACGTAACAAATGAAAAGGAAAATGCAAATAAGTACAAGCATAAGAAGGACATAGCAAGATAAAGAAGCATTCAAAAATAGAAGGAGAATATCGAAACCGCCGGAAATCTGAGTAGTTTGTTTGCACGCTGCGTGAAAGGACTCGGTACTTGAATTTGTGATTGTCATGCTGCTTGCATGCACAATGAGGCTCTGAGGGGCCAGCAGGCACAACAAACAGATATCAAAAAACAAAGTCTTGAGAGATAGAAAGCTGGGATTCCCCTCTAGAATTTTTAGACAAAGCAACCATGCGCAGCATTCACGAAACATGGCTTAGCATGTCTTTGTAGTATGGAGGCCAAACGTGACTATCCAGGGCAAGTCACGTTGTGGTCATTCTTAGCAGCCAACACAGCGGTGTTCTCTTTGTGGCAGGGCGGAGCCAGGAGATCTTTGCACGAGCACTTCACCTGCAGCCGGTGGCATCTCCAACGTGGGAGCTGGCACACGCTTCTAACGAGCTGTGTCTCGCATCAGAGGCCAGGACATTGGCTGCTGAATTCCTGTGCCTTGTGGACGGTGGGGCACATAGCCGCGGAGCGATTGTCAAACTGCGAGCTGGCTGTCTTATTCGCTTGTTGTGGCTTAGGGGCCAGTGGCAGCCATGTGTTTCGGCATGGCCAGCCTGTGCTCGGTGCAAGTGGCTTGCTCATGGGCACTTTGGTGGCCACTAGCTTTCTGCAACCAGAGCGTCGTCTCTCGGTGTTCCCGCTGCCCATGAGCTTCACATTGCTGCAAGTCTCGGATGTAGCGTGTGTATCGAACGTGGTTGGGTTGGTGGCCACCCATTGTTGCCAACTCCCAGCTTTACAGAATGTGGCATGGGCAGCGCATGTGGGCGGCATACTGTCGGGAGTCTCGGTGGCCCTGGCTGCGCGCACAATGGGAGACTTGCGGTTTGCCGACGCATGGTGCCTGCGCAGGCAAGCATCCAAGGATTGGCAGGACTCATTGGATCGGCTGGACGGCGTGGATTTGCAAAAAGAGTGTTGGGCAAACATGGTAGCATGTGACACACAAGCAACTCAAGATGAGCAACAGATGCTCATTTCATAGCGCACGCTTTGGCTGAGTTTTATGGCTTTGCCGGGGTAGTGCCATGGCGGGCCCCAAGCCCGGGGCTCAATCACCTAAAGAGTCTGGGCGATGGGCTGTCATTGGTCGAGTTGGCCAAGGCCCATGCAGCGCCATGGCCCAGGTGCCCCGAAGTTCGCGCATCGATGCATTGATCGGATGATTCAGAATTCAACACCCTCGCCAGCCTCCACATGCTTCGTGAGCAGCACCCTTGGCCCCCTTGGCCTTCAGATGCCAAGCGTATTTCTTTCCGACTTTTGAGCCGAGAGGGCCTTAGGGTTTGGGAGCGTGATTGTTTATAGTGCTGCTCGCGCCTGAGTTAAAGTTACATGGTTGTTACGAGGCCGTGAATTTCTGGCATCCCTTTTCCGCTTCCAGCCCGGATCGTCCCTCCTAAACGGCGTTCATGCGTTTCGGCATCCCATGCAGCAGATGGCCAGGTGCCAAGCGCCTAGGACGAGCAGGCTGTTGCACATTAGCGAGTGCTGTCAGGGAGTCGCATTCCCAAGTGCAGGATTCGCGGGGGTGACACTGTGGCTGGTGACAACGTCAAGAGGACATAGTGCAGGCACAGATTGCCATGGAGGGCTTTGCGTGTTTTCAGTGGAGGTTCACGAGACCGCTCGCAAGACAAGCTTACAGTCGAGGGCCAATCTTGAGAGCGGTGCAGGTGCTTTTGCCTTCGGCCGGGAGCTGACAGCTGGTCGCCGAAGCTTGCTTGCAGGCTGCGACGCGGACTGAGAGCCGTCAGAGATTGAGCTTTGTAGGTGCAACAGTCTTTTAGCTGCAGGCATGCTGGGTGGGATAGCAGCTCCATGGGCTGCCCTCACAGCCAGCCCGGAACCAGCAACTGCGCGCATCGCCGCCTGGCAATGAACAGTTGAAGGATCTTGAAGGATGGATTGATTGCATCACTCGCATTTGGTTTTTGCCCAAGGTGACAATCGGTCTGCCCTGCCGGTGCTGCGAGAGGGACTGGTGTGCAACCTCCTGTGTGGAAGCTAGCGATGGCAGCCTTCATGAATAGAATCCTTGCACCATTAAGCCCATATATTGCCCATCCTGGAACAAACAAGTGAGTTCGGCATAGTCCGTAGTGGGCCACCAACTGGATCCAGCAGCAAATTCAAACCTCAGGCTTGGTCTGGAGGGCAAGATCATGGGAACAATGCGTGGCACTTCCGTATAGTGAGGATAGCGCCCGCGGTACTCCGATGGGATCAGCCGCACCACGCTGGTAACGAAGGGTCCCTTCGTCGTGTTTGACGGTCCTCACCCTCGAAATGGAAAACCTTACCATCTTCAGAGCAAGATTTCCATTTCAAAGTATCACTTGATTGTCAGACTTATTTTTTTTGCGAGGTTCCAGTTGTCATTCTTGACAGCGCTCATTTGCATTGGAGCTTCCCTGCCAAAAGATCTATCAAGCCGAGGCAGAGAGACAAAGTGCAACTGCCACGAGTTTTTGAGTGAGAAGGTGTCTGCAGAGGAGAAGGTAGTGTCCGGAGGTTGGCAGCTTACCGGCTGCCGGGACAGATAAATCTCAGAACCGCACGGCCAACTTAGGACTGTATAAGCTGCCAGCTGATGCCACCAAAGCGCGGCTTGATGCCATCGATTCCGGCCTGGGTGAAAACGGTTGGGCCAGCAGCTTTGCCCAAAGATAGATGCTGAGGGTCAAGTTGGGACAAGCATCGCTTGGCCCTTAGGTAAGCTCAACTGGCAGTCGGCGAATCTCCTCCTGTGGAACCCGGAGGACGTTTGGCAAGTTGAATTGTCCAATGTCAACTTTGCGTGAGGACGGCTCCCACTTGCAGGTGAAGCCTTCGAGCCTTGGCGATGCCGGGGACGGGCTCTTTACCACCGAAGCTCTGCCAAAGAATGCTGTGCCCCAGCCCGAGGATCCTCAAGTCACAGATCTTGCACAGACCTGTCCGCGTCTGAGGCTGCCCCCGTACCAGGGCAAGCCGTTGAGCCGCTTGCTCAGCCCTCCTCGGCCCTCCTCGGACACCTCCAGATTGGCCGAGGGTTGCGTGCAGCTTCGTTCAGCCGAGGTATCGCAGAGTTCCGGAAGATGAGAGGCACCCGTGATATGGACTACGTATGGTGCCCGCTAAGGGAGGAGCCACTTTTCAACTTCACGGACGACCAGTTGAAAGCGGCCGGAAGCTCACCGCAGCTCACGGCCTCTCACGGCAGGCTTCAGGGTTTTAGGGCTTTGGCAGTGCAAACTGAGGCGGAGGACGCTGGGGCCGCAACAACTTTTTGCATAGACGGCCGAGAGGCTGCCGAGAAGAACCCAACTCGCTTCATCAATGCAGCTCACAGCAAAGAGTGACGGACTTGCATTTATGCCGGCGAGCGTGAAGATTAAGACAACAGATCGCAGTTTGCTAGCTGGCTCTCACTGCTGAGGCAATGCAAGAAGGTTAATGTGAAGATTTGCGAGTTCGGCGATGTGGCTTACTTCAGGCCGGTAGATATGCGTGACTGCTTGGTTCCATGGGCTCTCCAGCTCAGATTTGAAGGACCACGAAGGACGTGAAAAAGGGCGCTGAGCTCGTCACGGACTATGGCAGCGAGTACTGGGAGGAAACCCCGGGGTTGACAGGCTTCAGAACTTTGCCGTGGCTGTTGCAGGGGGTTGCAATCCTTCACTGTGAGGATTTCGAGGGCTGCTGAGTTGATCTGTGGATGCCAGATTCGGCCAGAAGAGAGCCGGAGGTGGAAGGTGATTCACGACGGTTGAAAGACCTGGGGGTGTCGTGTTTTGGATGTGTAGTGTGTTTGCTGCTTGCGACTGAGATGCTTAAGGTCTTGTGCATGTGCCCTGTCTGCTGCTCAAGCACGGGGCAGTGCAACGGGGCAGTGCGGCACGACGCGCACTTGGATAGGCCAGCGGCGTCAGGCAGGGTTGATTCATTGATTCAGCTCATGACGCCGTGAGGCGCGCCATGCCGGGACGTCGCGCCAGAGCTCTGCTTGACGACCCGAACGGATGTCAAGCTGAAGTCAGCGCCTCGGTTTCTCCCTTGTGCTGGCATGCGCTGCTTCTCCAGGTCATCCTGAGTTGCTGCGGGCCAGTGCAGCTTGTGGCAGGTGGCTGCGTTGCGCGCACCTCAGCGGGCATGCTTGTGACAGCCGTTTGAAACCGGCATACCGGGGTGCTCGGTGAGGCGGCTGCCAACTACTTGTGCGAGGCGGCTGGGAAGGCTTTCAGCGCGCGCTTCGAGGCACCCGGCCGAGATCACCGTCTCAGAGCCTCTCGATCCCTCCCAGGCAAGGGCACCCACGTCAGACTCAGATGCGGCGAGCTCCGAAAGTGATGAGTCGGCCGCTGGGGAAGAGTATGGCAAGAACAAAAGCAACAAGGCCAGGATTTGCAGGCGGCTTGTTCAACAGCGATGGATTTGTCCCAGGACAAAAAGGCAGCTGGAGGCTACCTGAAAATAAGCGGCTTGGCAAAAGACGCAAAAGACAGGGCTCTTGCTGGCAAGCGACGCTTGTGACCTTGCTGGCCTTGCCAGGCGAGTTGCTCAAAGGGGTTCAGCTTTACGCCTGCGCCCTTTGCTTTCGAGTGACTACCTTTCACTTGGGCGCATTTTCAGGAGCTCATGGGGATATCCGAGGGGGCCTCCCAGGAACAATCAGCGATCCTGCATGTTCCTGCGTGTTGCATTTTGTCATATTTTTGTCCTTTGTTGCATGTAGCCAATACTAGCCACGTAGCATGTTCCTGATGAGCCCTGCAGGATGAGATCAAGAAAGCGTACAGGACCATGGCGCTGAGTGCCCACCCAGACAAGCAGGCAACGATGGAGCCGGATGAAGCCAAGAAGGTCGGCCGTTCGGTGCGATGTTGATGATGAAAAAAACAAGAGATGGAGATCGGACATTTTGCCGCATATTTCGTCGCATATTGCCACATTTTGCATATTATGCAATGCGTCGCATCGCCGCGTTGCCGACTGGTTGAGGTCCAAGAGAATTTCATCAAGATCCAAGAGGCCTATGAGCTCTTGTCGGATCCCGTGAAGCGAAAGCAATACGACTCAAGCTTGGACTTCGATGAGACGCTTGGCTTTTCGTCTTGTCGTGCTCCAGCTCAAAGAATGAATGATGTGAAAGATGCAAATGTGGCAAACTTGACATATTCAGCGCGATGCCGATTGTTTCAATGCATTTGGTAGTGCTGCTGTGTTTGTGTCAAGGCGCGCACGTAGGATACATAGTTCCTGAGAGTTCATCAGTTGCAGGTGCAACCAGCAGGGCAGGGCAGTTTCGTGGACAATTTGACTTTATATTGCGTTGCTTTAGGGTTTGGGGTCTTGTTCGTAATACTTGTTGAAGCTATTTTCCGTAAGGAGTGGGAGACGGGGATTTAACAGCTTGCAAGCCGCAAGTAGAACATTTTGGGGTGGTGTGATCAGCCAGTGAGGCAAGCAAACTGTACAGCAGCATATCGGGCCAACAAATGTTGGGGTGACATCTTTGGATGGTTTTATGCCCAGATTTCTCTTTTGATCGCTTAAATTGATCTTTTGTTTGTTTTGCGGCTTTTGCCGCATGCATCACTTGGTCTTTGCTAGCTTTTTGGCAGGGCAATTGCCGATTGCTCGCTGCCACTCGCTGCCACTCGCTGCCTGCCCCGCCAGAGGTTGCTTGCACCTGTGCAAATGTGCGCAGCTCAGGAGCTTGCCAAAGCTGCGCTCCGGTGAAGACTTCTTCCAAGTCTTCGGTGAGGCTGGGTGGCAAGCGGCAAGCCTCACAGGCTGCTGGTTTAGCATGCAGCTCCTTGTGAATGCAGAGTTCGATCCGCCGTCAAAAGCCGCTAAGAGCCATCATAAGCCACCGGATTTTCAATGTGGTCACACTGTCATGTACGGTTACATTGCTTGTGCTATCTTGTGTTATCATCTTTAGGTTCTTGTGTTTGTGCTGTTTGTGCCTGCTTTGTTTTGAGTTGACTGCTTCGTTTAGGTTAACGGCTTTATTTACACTTGACTGCTTTGCCAGGCCTTCCGTCGCAACGCGCGCTTCTCGGTGAAGCGGCCGGTTCCTGACCTTGGCTCCATGGAGGCCTCGAGTCTTCACTTACGAGTCGAGCTCGTGTCAATCGTTCCAGGATGAGCCTCGTTCCTGGAAGAGGTTCTACGAGTTTTGGCGCGCCCAGCCTTCCGGTGAAACGGTCTCTGAAGACTTGGCAATGCCAGGGACAACTTCCAGTCCTGGAGAGATCCCGCAGCTTGGCATGAAGATTCGAGACTGCACCGAGGGAATGTGCATTGACTTTAGGTGATGCTGGCACAGAGTGCCGGCGAAGAGATTTGCGACCTCGCCGATGCCGAGTGCAGAGAAGAAAGGCATTGACAAATTTGGCCAAATATGCGGAACTTCCGAAATTATTTTGTATTCCTATGCTTTCTTCGCAGGCGCTGGATGCAGAGGGAGAATGAACGAGTCGCCCGGAAATACAAGCAGCAAGAGCGAGATCGCATCGCCAAACTTGTGAGCCTTGCCGAATCCATGGATCCGCGAGTCCAAGCAGAGAAGGAGGCCTCCGGAATGATCTTCATGTTTCGCGACTTCGTGCTGTTCTTTGATCGCTTTGCCTGGCCAGGCAAAGAAGTTGGCCCGTCAGGCAGAAGCAGCCAGAAAAGAGCAGGACCGGCGTCCTTGGGCTCTCGAGGGCTAACACCGACATGGCGAGGAGCGAGCAGCGGCTCAGCGCGCCAAGGAGGAGGCGAAGGGTTCGCCGCTTCGCCCGTTGTTTCTCGCGAATTCGCAGTCAGGGCCTTTCACTGTTGATTCTGCGCTCGCTCGTTGCACATGTTTTCGATCGGCGCCAGGCCGAGCGCGCGAAGCGAGAAGCAGAGGAGGCGGAGAGAGCTGCCGTGGGCCCAGCATGAGCTGAAATGCTGCAATGCTGCAATGCCAAAATGCAAGTTACTTGCCGTTGAGGAGCTGGAGAAGAAGCGCAAGGAGGAGAAAGCGGCCAAGGCCAGGGGTCTAGAAATGGCAGAGAAAGAGGGGAGAGGAGAAACGCTAACAACAACTGGATGGAACAGGGCCAGGGATTGGGGACTCCGTGACTTTGCTGCCCAGGATGCTGTGAGAGTCTGGGGCCCCAGGACCCCCCCAATGCTCGGCCCAGCTGAACTAGGACATGCAGTTGTGCAGTTGTGCGTAACTCCGTGGCTCCAAGGAACGGGTCAAGAAGTGCCGGCAGCGATTGCGGAGCTTTCACCCTGCCTGGCTCCGGTCGATGGTTTTCATGGCGGGTTGTGATTGCCTGCCCAGGCCGTGAAAGCCCACGTGGTCCTGGATCAGATCAACACGGTGTGCTCCCAGTTTGAGGACGGCATGTTAAGATAAGATGGGAAGATGAGAAGATGAGAAGATGAGAAGATGGGAAATCGGCGGTCAAAGCCGAGTCATGCGCCGAGTCATGCGCCGAGTCATGCGTCGTCGTTTCGCGTTGCGCGTTGCGTCAGGAGGACGCGCTGCGGGAGCTGGGCCACGGCATTGATGAGGCGCTCAAGAAGAAAGACGTGCTCGGAGCGGCGGCCCTCTTCCACCAGGCGACTCGCGAGACCCCTCAAATGAAAGCGCCCTAAGAAAGCGAATCACAGCCCAGTAAACAAGATTAAGCAAGCCTTGTAAGAAACTGAAAGCGCCTCAAAAGAAAGCCTGCTGCTCAGGCCATCGAGAAGTGCGGCTTGACACCGATGAAGGCCGCGCGCGGGGATGTCACAAAATAGAGAGCGCATGAAGCATTCCAATGGTGCACCATCTTTCTCCATTCCCGGAGGTCTGTGAAGATACTGCGAGCACCACCAGTGGCCCGACTGACTCCCAAGAGGAGGGAGCCTACAGTTGCCTCAATCTCCATCCGGAAAAGCCATGTCACTATGTGCAAATTTCATTTGCTAGAGACCTTGTTTGCGTTGCCCCCCCCCGCACGCAGCGGCTGGTTCGGGTGTGAGGACTTCCAAGCTGCAGAGGAGCTTCGGCAGCGCGAGGAGCAGAAGAGACGAAGGGCGCTTGCCTCATCACGCGCTAGTTGTGCTGTAGGCCTTGCCAGTGGAACGAATGTTTTCCCCGCTGCCTTCAGCATCCCAGCAAGTTTGCTTGAGCGAGCCTTGGATGAATGGCAAGCCAAGGCTGCGGAGAATGAGGCCTTGGGTAGACGAACGTCATTTGGATAGATGCGCAGCAATGAGTACTGAGAGACTGCCAGGCCAAAAGGCAGAAAGAGATGGCCGAACAAGCTGAAGAGCGCGCGAAGCTTGCTGCCGAGAAGGCTGAAGAAAGGAAGAAGAAGGAGGCATCATAATGTCCATTTTTTGGCCTTCCGGGGCCGTGGCCCTCGTGCAACTTCTGGTTGCTTAAGGAGAACTGCGGAGGAGTCTCATCTAGCAGCTGTAAGGCAGTCAAGAACTTGGTACCGCCTCAACACCACTGCTTCAAGACTTGTCAATAGAAAGTGCACTGTGCCCCTCTCGTTTTCTTCGAGTTCGGCCAGGTGGGCCATCGACAGCTCAAAACAACACCCAAAAGGCTGCACGTGCTTTTTTTGGAGCTTGCTTTGAGTCCGTGGATCGTTGGCTTGGTTGACGCTTTGAACTTGTGCCACTCGTTGAGCGCTGTGCCGTGGACCGCGTGCTTTTCGCCGACTGCTTGGACTGCTTATCCATCGGACCTCGGACAATGTACGCTTCACACGTGTGCTGCCAAGGCGGTGGCTGACGAATAAGACGGCTGTTCTATCACCGTCACGCTTAAGCATTCTCACACGACGGAGCTTCTCATGACACGAAGCACAAGGAGTTACTTATTAAGTTACTTGACGCTGCCTCAATGTCACAATGTGACCACTAGGGTGTTTTTTTTGCCAATGCCGCTCAACTACCCACCGGTACGGTGCGTACTTACTCCTAGCATCGTTGAGTTGACTTGTCAGTCATGCACAGCGTCTGCATTTTAGGCACGTGTGCAGTTGTGGCTTCACTCTGTTAGTAACACTAGCTAATCGCGCTTCGGGCCACTCGCTGTCTAGTTTTTGGCGGGTTTGATGTACAACTGATTGTCGGAGTGGTTGTGCGCGGCTTGGTGCCGCTTGCTTTGCGCCAGGAACAGCGAAAGAAGGAGCAAGCTGCTGCAGACGCGGCAAAGAGGCAACAAGAGAAGAAGGAAGAACAGTATCTAAGCTTACATGTGCCGCCAATGTACTGCGGGCTATTTTTGCGGGTAAAGCTGGAAGGTAAGCGATGCAATGGCAGCGCGGGTGTGTGCTAAGGAAAGCGCGGAAGGCTGAAGAGAAGCAAAAGAAGCAGGATGTTTTTCCGCTTCGGCTGCAATTGGCCAGGCAACAGCTCAGTGACCGCCCATGTCCATGTCTCCAGGAGGAGAACGAGAGGCTGAAGAAGGAGCAGCAGCGAGAGGAGGCGCGCATCAAGGCCCAGGAACAGTCCGAGAAGGACAAGCAGCTGGCCCAGGCCAAGAAGCAGGACACTCGGATGGGTCGGATGGGTCGGATGGGTCGGATCGGATCGCTGCACGGAGCGAGCGGTTGGGTGCTGATGGCCGATTCTGGTTGGGCTTGGCCCATGCTTGGCCCCTTGGCTCCCAATTTGAGCAGGCATAGAGGTTGCACGTCTAGGAGATGGAGCAGGAGCGGCTGGTGCAGCTGTTTTCCCAGGACCGCATTGACAGGCCCCGGGTGGAGTTCCAGGTTTGCTATCGACCCTCCAGTGCCAACAGCCAAGGCGACAAGGCGACAAGGCGACAAGGCGACAAGGCGACAAGGTGGCAAGGTGGCAAGGTGGCAAGGTGGCAAGGTGGCAAGGTGACACTAGCAAGCGGCGGATCAGCAATAGAGCGACCAACCTTCAACTTGTTGTTTGTTGGGTAGGCGGTCATCTCTGGTTTGATGATGGTGCATCGCTTGGTCGGGAAGGCTAGCAAAGCTCGATGCGCTCACCGATGAGAAGTTGCTGGATGCTTTGCAAGAGTCTGTGACAGACCCTGGCCTTGCCGGAGCGTCCGGATCTCACAGAGATTCTGTGCCAAGCACATACAAGCACTGACAAGCTCTGACTCTTTGGAGCAAAGACGATTGCCGAAGATGGCCGAAGATGGCCGAAGATTTCCGAAGATGGCCGAGGTTGAAGCTACTTGACCAGGTGGACGACCGCGCTGTTGCCCTGGCCATGCGCTGAAGGCTTTTTAGGGTGCCGGGCCGTGAGGTCGGGTCCGGGCAGCGAGCCAAGGTCCATGAACGGCAGGCAGTGTGGGGCCTGGCCCTGCCTCCCCCGCAGATCCGGGTGGAGAACGCCCTGCGCAACCGGGCACGCCACGCTTTCTGCCACATTGCTTCGAGTCCGTGAGATGAAGCCCAGAAATGCTCAGAAGCTCAGGTGAAGAAGGCCCGGAATCGACTAACGCAAGTGATGACCAGCTTCTTCAGCAAGTCGCTGCCTGAGATGAGCTGCGCATCTTGAAGTCTTGAATCTCGCGATATCCCGCGCCCTGCTTGCAGGTGCGAGTTTGATGCTGCAGACGATGGAGCAGTTTCCGAATGGCAGCGTGGCATCGTGGACGGAAGCGTCGAGATCCCTACATGGGAGGAGAGGCAGTCACTGCACAAGGCACACCAAGACGGTGCCAAGACGCATCAAATGCTTGCGGGTTGAGATGGCAAGCCGTGAGGAGACCGCACCTGAGCCTGAGACCGCTCCAGGTCGGGCCTTTGCTTTGGCATGTAAGATCCTGCAAGCCAGTTCGTGCGCAGACAAGCCTGACAAGCCCGAGAAGAAAAAAGCCAAAAAGCCGGAGAAGAGCAAAGAGGCAGAATGGGCGAATGGGTGGAATGATGATGGGAGTTGCGAAGTTGCACAAACCTTGCGCCACTGAGCTGAGGATGATCTTGATCAGATCTTGGCAGAGCTGGACTCGCCCGAAAAGAGCAAGAAAGCAGGCAAGAAGAAGAAGAGCCTTGGCCGCAAGATACATTTGTGGCTTGGGCTGAGCTCTTGAAGTCTTGGCTTTGAAAGTTTGAATGCGCTGATTTATCCAGCCGGCCGGTGCGAAGGTGAATGGCCGGGCCCATGCTTGGCTCCCAACTGGTTCGCTCGTGCGTTCCGCCATGTGCTGGGGACGTCAAGCATGTGATTGTCTTGGGGGCATTTGGCCCTCCAATGATTTTTGCTTCCTGTGCATAGTGCGTGGCAAAGCCACGGATGGCACAACGTGCCATCACACTCATAGGCAATTAATGATTTACCGACTAACCAGTTCCGGTCTTTAGCTTTGGGCGATTGCCCATTTCACCCGCCACCCGCCTGCTGCCATAAGCCAGGCACTTCTCGTCCAAGCGTTGCAGGCTAGACGGCCTCCGTCCAACACTGCAAGAAAGTGCACAGACAGCCCCATACCAAAAGGAACCGGAGCAACATTGCCATGGCGATGCGCTCGTTTGACTCCAGGTGGTGCTGCATTTCAGTTCCTCCCTGAAGCAGCCTGCTGGAGACGTAAGGTGGAATGGGATTAATTAACTGAAAGACATACCGCGTAACAATCAGTCTCTAGATTAATGCAATGAATGTCGACCAAATATCAGCAAAGACTGCAAAGCAGGTGAACGGTATTGAAGCAACTATAGGTTGGGACGTGTTTTCTTGTCAATGCACATGCCTGGCATGTCTGCGCCCTTTTTATGTGTCTTTCTCTTGAGGTGCATGCGTGTGCGAGGCCAAGTTAGCCAGTTAAGTAGGTCGCCAGCTAGTTGGCTAGCTAGCTAGTCAGATGCTTAGCTAGTTCGATTTTTAGCTACTTGGTTGATTTAGTTTGCTTAGCTGTGCGAATTAGTTAGATGGCCAGCTTGCGCTTCAAAAAGCTAGTTTCTTGGTAGCTATCTAGTTTCCTGTTTGCACGGTGGTTGTTTTTCATGTGTTGCCACGTTGTGTCTGCCTTTTCCGATATACCGCGGTATCGCTTCCCGTCCATACAGCAGCGGTGTTTGTGTCGTTTCCATATTCAGTGACATTTGGCAGTCTCCCAAACTGCAGCGGCGTCTTTTTCTCTCCCATGCTGCCGCCCTGCAGCGGTATTTGTTGTGAAATGGCTGCCTTCCATTTACTGCGCTGATCCTTTCTTCCCAAATTGAACATTGTATTCGTTCTTTCTCCGTTGCTCCGCATGCTGCATTGATTCTTGCTGCGGCAGTATCCGTTTGTGTCCCATGTTGTGTCTTTGTATCGCGTGCTGCGGGGGTGTTTCTTTCCCTCCTGTCGGGGGCAGGTTCAAAGCAAGATACTGCAAGCTGTGAGTCATGTGAGCCTTGCTGCAGTTAGTCCTGCAGTAAGCCTCTGCCTGGCTCTTCGTTTCAAGGCAGCAGCAAGACCAGCACGCAAGTGGCAACTAGCAAAAAGCCGCAGGAACAGGCTATAGACGGTGGCCAGGCATTGAGCTGCAGAGTTCAACAATCACACGCCAAGGACTGCTGAGCAGTTAAACAGATTTCTCGATCAGCACTTAGCTCAGCTGTCCGGCATGGCCCATTGTCACTGAGGCGGGTGGACGGAGCTGGGTATGTGTCAATTGGTTTCCCTATAAACCAACCCTAACGTATGAAAGTCTTGAAACCCCAGGAAGGGTGCCCTCCCTCAAAACACTCTCCCAGACGAACCGCACTCGACTTGAGCACGTGGCATGCAGGAATTCTCACTGGCAGCCGGACATGTCACTGCATTCGGCACGGGGGCTTCATGATGATGGTTGCTTTCAGGACGGGCGAGGCATGACGATCCTAGAGCACCCTGCACCACGCAAAGATTTGAGTTGGGAGTCGCTAGGATGTCCTGGTGGCTGTTGGCTTGGCGAAGGATGGCGCTCCGCGAAAGACGGGCTCAGGTGTGGAACTTTGAAAAGTCGGCTTGATGGCCTCCGTTGCAAATGTGAGGAACTCCCATGCGCGGTTTGCGGCGCATCAAGCCCTGTGCCCAGGGGTATGTGTGGCATGATGCACTTTCTTTCTGTTGCCGCTTTAGGACGAGCGGTCCGCAGACGCACAAACTGCCCTTTGGAGTCATGCGGTTGGCCTAGCCTTGCCTTGGCAAAGCATATTGGGCTGCATTTTGTCTAACATTTCAGCTTCTTCAGGTGGAGTATCACTTTGGTAACGGCCGTCACCATGGCAGTGATCAATTTCTTCACTATTTGGATAATCTCCTTTGCGGTGGAGTGGAAGTTCAGCACGCTCCAGGCAGGTTTGTGGCGTTCGTCTAGCTGGTGAAAAGATTGGTTGCCAAGCAGTAGCTCAGCCCAACTGCAAAGACCAGCACTGCGCCATGCGTCAGTTTTTCGCCTTCATTAGAAGTTGCCTGCCACTGCCAGCTCATGGTCGACAAGTTTGGCGTATGGTTTGCCATTTTGGGGCGCGGAGCCTGGCGAAGAGTGAGAACGGGGGCCGGGCGCGGTTCGCATGTGCAAGGTTCACGGGGATTTGCTCTTGCCTAGCGCTGTGCTGGGCCGCTGAGTTTGCCCAACAAGCGGGCGCAAGCGGGCACTCGTGTCACTCGCGTCGCTGGAGGTTGCACCCTCTTCATCTTCACCTGCGCTCCTGCGGCTGGTGGCTCCGGAGCACCTGAGAACAAAGGATTTCTCAACGGGCCCGTCCCCCAGACTCGAAGGCACACATGTCCATGCTCGAGCATGTCTGTTTCATTGAGCTAGCCTCGAGGAACGAAATGCCAGAGCTATTTACCTTGCAGAACCTCGTTGGGAGGGCCATCGCCACGATGCTGGCCAATGTGGGATGTCAGTTTGTGCTGACTTGGAGAAATTGACCCGCATCCGGCAGGTCACTGGTTACCCAGTAGGGCGCGAGGGGCCGACTGCGGGAGCCTCATGGTTTGCAACTTTAGTAATATTATACCCTTGTCTGAGGTCACCATGGGAAGCAACTTAGCGTACTTGATCACACACGTGGCTGCGCTGCCATTTGTTCGTCCCGTCCTTGTGCTGTCCTGCTTTGCTCCCCAGCACTGGGCGTGGAGAAGGCTGCGCCTGTCACCAAGGTCAATGGGTAGACGTTGACGCACCTGGCTCGGCCACTTCTGCCGCCACCATGATTGATGAGGAGCGAGCTCGGCCCACAGCATCTTATGGATACGTGCAAATCATCGTTGCAGGACCGGTTCGAGCATGCCAAGCGCATTGTTTGTACAGTTGGTGGGGCTTGCGGAATGGCCGTTGCCTCAACAGCTGTGCTGTCGCTCGAGGGAACCAAGAGAGATCAAGAGAGAAAGCGAAGGGAACCAAGAGAGAAAGCGCAGTGATGAGCATGAGCCAATGCAGGCAATGTTGTTTGACTCCCCAATCGGCGGCATTGCCTGGCCCGCAGTATTTTTGCCCCTTGCATGTTTGGCGATCCTATGCTCCGTCCGGCCTGAGGTGTACATGTTTGAGGAGATCACTTCCTCCTCCTGGCCGGTTGAGGCTCCTGTGTTGCATGCTGTGCGCAGGCAAGTGCAGACCGTCAGGTAACATTCCGGGCATTTGCCGGCACTTCGGTGTGTGCGCTGGTATCCCGAGCGCTTCTGAACATGTGTGGTACCTCCACAAAGGCGCATTGCTGAAATCTGTTTGCATATGTTTGCAAAGAGGGCTCCTCCTGGCTGCAAGGCGTTTGTGATCTACGAGTGGAACCCGCAGCCAACAGGGTGGAGCTGGCCACCTGTCTAAAATAGTCAAAAATGCAGACCCCTTCGAGCCTCAAGAGGATTCGGCCGAGGCACGACGTTCCCTTCTTCATGTTGCTGGCCAGCACCTTAGCACCCACCGATGCTTCACCGATGCTTCTCAAAAAACAATCCTGGCATGCAATTCCCGCGAGCTTGCTGTGGCCCAGATTAGTATAGAGGCGCAGCTCCTCCCATGCGCAAAAGGGCCAGCACACGTGCCAGTCAGCATCAACTTGAACACACTGTGAGCCCAATGGGCATCAAAGGGCCATTTGCAGCTGGAGCCAGACGCCGGCATGCTTGCTACCTGCTCCTAGCGTGATGGCGGGTGTTGCAGCTGAAGCAGGAGCGCTCTCCGCCTGCCTCTCTAGAGCTGCGTCAGTGTCCACGCCACGTTGCAGATGAGGATAAAAAACATCTTTTTGCTAGGAGAACTTGATGACTGGCAACAGATCCGACGGCTTCTGGAAGATGGAAATGACCGGAGCCGGCTATTTCTAGACGTGCTGCTTGGTGGAAATGGGGCATTGCACTTTCAAGCAACAATATCTCACGAGTTGACATCAGGTTCGAGACAGCATATGGCAGCTTTGCAGCAAACATTCTGGCAGGCTGAAGCCCTGGGATCACTCATTGTTTCATGTCTGGCTTGGGAGCCGCTCTTCTTCACTTATCTTTTGCCGGCTTGTCTTGCTGCAAGGCATTCACAACTGCAGCGACGCCCTTCTCCACGTGCAAGACTTCTTGGGACGGTTCCTGGTCAAAGACTTTGATCACGAGGCACTGTTAGCTTGGATCATTGGGCTTGCTTCCAAAGTTCCTCGCACGCCATGAGCCTCAGGGCTTCCAGGAGATTCTTGGCAGCGAGGCGGACTTGCTTGCTTCCGGTATCGAGGCTTTGATCTTGATTGCCTGACGGCTTGACTGCTCTGCTCTGTGAGGAGGGAGTCGATGCAGACTTGACCGCTGCGTCAAGCCTCGCGCTCCGCATGACTATGATGATTGCAAAGCATCATGGGCTGCGACAGCGGGATTTCCAGGCCGACCAGTTAATGTCCAGACAGCGCTGGCTGACTTGCCAGTCCGTCGCACAGGAGCTCAGCCAAGCATGTGGGAAGGCAATCCGTGCAGAGCTCAGTTTGTCACTTCAAGAGATGCTTTGCCTGGCGGATCTTGCGGATCTTGCGGCATTGCGAGGAAGCCTTCCTGCATGTTATCGGCTGCAGCGCCTGCTGCCTGGAGCTCTGAATGATGCCAGGGCTCTTCGCATTTTGCAGGCATGGTTTCGCATGGTTTGGGCATTGGGGAATCTAGGCATATTGGGGTGCGGGCGTTCGGCTCGGCAAGGGCTCGGAGGAGGAGCTGGGCCGCGCCTATCTTATTCGTTGCGCCGTTGCGCTTGGCATACCCCGCAGTTGAGGCCTGAACCCCTGGCAATCACAAGAGGGGCAGGAGCTCTTCGAATCACGGCACGGAGTGGCATGGGCGGATATGAAGGCTCATGGCTTAACATGGCTCGACGACTTAAACCACATGTTTGACATGTATTTGATCTTGTTTGCATGGGTTAGCCGTGATTTGTACATCGTGCATGAATTCCGGGCTGTCGAAAGTTTGGCTGAGGCGCTTACTGCCAAAGATGGCTCGAGCCTGGGCTCGTTTCATGGCCCCTTCATGGTGCAAGATGTGGTCACGATGCCGGCGGGCACAGAGAGTTGTGAGCAGTAGGGCAGAGTGCCAAGACCCCTGGACAGGCTCTCAGCATAGTGCACTTGAAAGCGCTGAGCTGCCCAGCTGCAGAGGGGAGGCGTGCGGCTTTTACACTTGCAACTTGTGCCATGGGGCAATGTTGGCTGCGCGCAGCAAAGGCAGCTCAGACCACGTCGAAGAAGCTACTGGGACCAGCAACTTGGGCCTTGGTTCACGCCAACGCGCCTGGCGCAGTTTGTTCGATGCTCTGAGCGGCAATTGAAGTCTGCTCTGAATTGTATCATTCAAGTCGCTCATGCCCTTTGACAAGCACGGGGGTTCACCTTCGAAGCACAGCGAAGCCAAACGGCCGAGAGACACACATATTTGATTGCAGCTGCTTCGTGTTATCAGGGCCAGCTTGGTGTCGTTAAACTGCAAACAGGCGCTCAAGCATCCTAACCAACATCATGTTGTTTGAGCATCTTGCTTTTGTTGTTTTTCATGGTTGCTGCCCCCCCACCAGGAATCCCATTGCAGGAAGTAGGTTCGGGTGGTGCTATGTGCAACTGATGGCGGTTCAACCTGCGATGGACTCAAGCAGAACGCAAATCCTGGCCTTCAATGCGACAGTTGCGTCCATCCAGAGTGCAGAGACCGCGACGGAAGTGGCTGTTTCCGGGGCTTGCCGTGTGTTGGCAAGCCGCCGTGGTGGCTTTCAGTGTGGTTTGGGGCAATCCTCTCAGGGCGACGTTGTATTGTGGGAAGTTGATGGAGGCTGGGCTCATTCAGCGCCATGGTTTTTGAGAAGTGCAGATTGTGATTCCAGGCTTGGGCAGCCTACTTCAGGAAGGGTTTGTTATGGTAGCGCATTGGAGGCTTATGGAAAGCGAGTTCTGCCGTACCCTCAGTCAAGTTTCTAGGTACCTGTCTGTTGTTAACATTGCTGAGGCTTCATGTGTGAGCTGGACTGCATCTATCCTGACTGGGCGATGCCGAAAACTGCTGTAAAGGACAGCTAGGGCACAAAGCTGCCAAGGCATTTCCACAAAAAGTGCGAGCCCGGCAACGCTGAAGCCGTGTTGCTGAAGCTTTGTTCGGAGATGTTCGGAGTGGCCAAGGCCTTGCTGATGGGACCCTTCAGTGCCTTCCACACCAGGGCTTGCCTGGCTGTCGCCAGCGTCAGGCAGCAATCGGACTCGCAAGGGCCTGTGGGACGGGCTGTGGCCAGCGATCGTGGCTTTCCGCAGGCAGACGCTCATGCAGCGCTTGTCCGCATACCAGCCATACAACAAGATGGCGGATGCGGTGCTTTATGGCGGTCTTGTGGCGTTGCGCCTTGGCTTCATTGCCTCAATGCCTGTGGCCCCATGCCGCCAAGCGTTTAGGACGTACTCGCTGGTGGCTTTGTTGGTGCCAGCCTGAGACAGTTTTGGGTAGGGAAGCCCGTCTGTCAGCCTGGGCCATTTTGTCATGTGCGTTGCGAGGCCAACTGCAAACATACCGCTCAAGATGCGGCACAGTTTGTTCGCTACGATTGCGAGGCAAGGGCCTTGCGGCTTAAGCTTTTGACACGCCAGCTTGTGCAGGAGGGCAAGTACAATCCGGTGGCGTCGCTTTTGCTGACAACATCCGAGGGAGCAGTGAAGCGACTTTTTTCAAGGCTTGTTAGAGGAACTCTTGACAGCGTCCTCCCCAATTCAATTCATTTGCATAGGCATGATGCCAACGAGATCCACTTCAGGTGGGTGCACTGATGCTGTTTGGCGTCTGTAGTCATTACAAGCTCAAGGCTATCAGACTTGAAGTGGCAGGAATGAGCTGCTCGCCTTTGTGTCATACACAGCTCTGAACATCGGTCTCACAGGCGCTTTCCCAGTTGCCAACGGTGCGTTTCTTTGTTGTTGTTGGCTGACCGTTTGCCGCAGGCGTGCCTGTTCCCTCAGGGAATTTTACCGGCTCCATGCTGATAGGAGGGCGCCGGGCTGAGCCAAAGCTGACGGGCATGCAGAGGAAGGATTCGAGGACCGTCCCACACCTGGCTGTCAGGCTAGTTGGCCGCATGATGGGTGCTCTTGTGCGAGACTACGGGCCGGGAATGGCCGTGTCCCGGCCTGAGACTGCCTTGCAACATGTGCAGATTCAGTGCTGTGCTTGCAGGTCCGGAGTCTATGCAATGGTTGGAAGTGCCTCGATGCTGGCGGGCTTTAAGCAGATGGCGGTGGCAGTTGTGGTTTTCATCACAGGACCAAGATCCCAGATCCGCCTTGGGCCCGCCTTGGGTCGGCAAGCGCTGACTAGGAGCAGCCAACGACCTTGGGCTGATCCCTCCCCTAATGCTGGCAGCACGCGTCTTACTCTTTGCCCTGCGTTTGGTAGCTGAGTTTGCTGGCTTCGTGAGGTTCCGCTCAACGTTCTCAGGTCACCCTTTCGTTGCTCCTGAATAAGCTGATCAACGAAAGGGGCTTCGATGAGGCAGACTTCGCACATTTGAGGCGAATGTCCTTGAAGCTTGCACAGGAGCAAATCCTCAGGAAAGCGATTCCTTTCCTGCCCGTGCCTTGCCACGGCTTGAGACGTCGGAACTCAATTGGCTTGTGAGTTGTGAAGTCCGGGCCGTCCTTGTCGCGCCAGCCGGAGCCACCACGCCTCATGGACCGTGTGGTGGCCCTGGACCTGCGGGACGACCTGCCACCTGAAGCCGCGCTTCAGCCAGAGGCGGGGTTCAGAAGTTCAGCTTGCACGGGCCTGGGGGTGAAATGCGACAGGCCGACTACAACGCGATCCAGCTGGCCCTGCAGCAGGACAAGGCTAGAGATTACCCAGCGGAGGTGAAAGAAGTGAAGGGTGTGTGTGAGTGAGGTGGATTGCTTTCCTGTGCTGAAAGACGGCTACTGCATCGGCGGGGGCTGTCATGTTGGTGTGGCGTTTGCAAGCCAAGCTCACCTGAGGCTTCACAACTCGAGCGCGACTGCAAGCTGCTCTTGAAGTCTGGCAGGAGAGATATGGAGAGACAAGGCCGTTTGAATCCTGGCAAAGTCTGCCCTGCAGGCATCAGGCTTCATCAACACAGGGTCCATCAACACTGGGGCGCCGCACAAAAAGGCACGCTGCACCGGCGGCGCACACGGGACCAGAATTCCTGGAGAGGCTGTGTCTGATGCTGGCGGCGAGCAGATGGGCAAGCTGATCTCTGCCACAGTCGCAAGGTGTCGCTCTTGGCCTCTTGGCCCACCTTGGGCTCTTGGCCTCTTGGGCTCTTGGGCTCTTGGGCTCTTGGGTTCTTGCGTCGCTCCAGGGAGTCCAGCTTCTCCGGAAACGTGCTGCCAGTCAAGCGTCTCACCGAACGAGCTCCGTACACCATCCTGGAGGCAGAGAAGTTTTGAACGGAAGGCTCTGCGGAGCTCTACGGTATTTGGCGAACCGATCCCAGGACATGCCGGGGCCGCGGCTCTATGCACTCTTTGCAAAGGACTGGATGCCGCACAGCACGTGGGTAGCACAGATTGCACAGCACATGACTCGGGCATCGGGCGCTTCTCTGCATTTTCGGGCAGGCTGGTGCCAAAGCCGCGTGCGTCATCTCAGAGAAGGGCGAGCCTCCAACTCAGGGCCAAGGTGTCGAAGGTGTGTGGTCGTCTCTTGAAATCCCAGGTTTCGAGGAATGATTTCCCGCAGGGGGCTCATTGCAACGGCGCGGAGATACGAGGAGGCACTGCCTGTAACATGATTCATGTGCGGTGTTTATTTCTCGGTTGCAGGCGGCCGATCAAGCCCAATACGATGACACAGTGGGGGATGACGACGAAGAGCAAAGCTTGGCCTGCCTCCAAGCACATCCAAGCACATCCAAGCACATCCAAGCACATCATGCAGCACATCTACAAACATTACGCTGGGCGGATGGCAAGCGTTGTGTCTCAGACAGGGCTGGTGGGATGGTCGTGGGGAGATGCAGCAAACGAGCCAAGCCCAAAGTTGGGGTCCGACGAAGTCAACTGAAAACAAAGCAGTCAAGTGTAAACAAAGCTGTTAACTTAAACAAAGCAGTCAAGTGTAAACAAAGCGGTTAACTTACACGAAGCAGTCAAGTGTAAATAAAGCTGTTAATTGAAACCAAGCAGTCAAGTGTAAACAAAGCTGTTAACTTAAACAAAGCAGTCAAGTGTAAGCAAAGCGGTTAACTTACACGAAGCAGTCAAGTGTAAATAGAGCTGTTAATTGAAACCAAGCAGTCAAGTGTAAACAAAGCTGTTAACTTAAACAAAGCAGTCAAGTGTAAACAAAGCGGTTAACTTAAACAAAGCAGTCAAGTGTAAACAAAGCGGTTAACTTACACGAAGCAGTCAAGTGCTAATAAAGCTGTTATTTGAAACCAAGCAGTCAAGTGTAAACAAAGCTGTTAACTTAAACAAAGCAGTCAAGTCTAAACAAAGCTGTTAACTTACACGAAGCAGTCAAGTGTAAATAAACATGCTAGTTGAAGCCAAGCAGTCAAGTGTAAACAAAGCTGTTAACTTAAACAAAGCAGTCAAGTGTAAACAAAGCTGTTAACTTAAACAAAGCAGTCAAGTGTAAACAAAGCGGTTAACTTACACGAAGCCGTCAAGTGTAAATAAAGCTGTTAATTGAAACCAAGCAGTCAAGTGTAAACAAAGCTGTTAACTTAAACAAAGCAGTCAAGTGTACACAAAGCTGTTAACTTAAACAAAGCAGTCAAGTGTAAACAAAGCGGTTAACTTACACGAAGCAGTCAAGTGTAAATAAAGCTGTTAATTGCAACCAAGCAGTCAAGTGTAAACAAAGCTGTTAACTTAAGCAAAGCAGTCAAGTGTAAACAAAGCTGTTAACTTAAACAAAGCAGTCAAGTGTAAACAATGCGGTTAACTTACAGGAAGCAGTCAAGTGTAAATACAGCTGTTAGTTGAAACCAAGCAGTCAAGTGTAAACAAAGCTGTTAACTTAAACAAAGCAGCCGAGTGTAAATAAATCTGTTAACGTATATAAACGAAGCACCCAAGTGTACATAAAGCTGTTAACTTAAACAAAGCAGTCGAGTGTAAACAAAGCGGTTAACTTACACGAAGCAGTCAAGTGTACATAACGCTGTTAATTGAAACCAAGCAGTCAAGTGTAAACAAAGCGGTTAACTTGCACGAAGCAGTCAAGTGTCAATAAAGCTGTTAATTGAAACCAAGCAGTCAAGTGTAAACTAAAATTAAAAACACCCACAAAACACACCGAAAGAAAAAAGCAAACACACACAATAAACACGACGGCAAGAAGCAATAACCACAAACATACATGAATAAACGCCCCAAACAACGCCCCACACAACAGAACCCAATACCCAACCCCCCCACGACCCACCCAGGCGTATCTAGAATCCCAGATCCCCCCAATCGCCTACCCGAGAACACACCGTATCTGAATACCATAACCCCCTACAACACCCAACCCACAACCACACGCAACCCCCACACACAACACCAAGACAGTGTAAAACAAAGGGGTTAACATACCACAAGCAGTCCAGTGTAATAAAGCTGTTAAATGACAACCAACTCTATCCAATAGAAAACAGAGCTGTTTAACTTAAACAAACGCAGTCCAGGTAGTCCACCAAGCCGATCAAGTATAAACAAAGCAGTGAACTGAAACGAGGGAGTCAATTGTAAACAAAGCAGTCAAGTGTAAACAAAGCAGACAAGTGTAAATAAATCGTTTAACGTATATAAACGAAGCAGCCAAGTGTACATAAAGCTGTTAACTTAAACAAAGCAGTCAAGTGTAAACAAAGCGGTTAACTTACACGAAGCAGTCGAGTGTAAATAAAGCTGTTAATTGAAACGAAGCAGTCAAGTGTAAACAAAGCAGTCAAGTGCAAATCAAGCTGTCAAGTGTAAACAAAGCAGTTAACTTAAACGAAGCAGTCAAGTAAACAAAGCAGTCAAGTGTAAACAAAGCAGTCAAGTCTAAACAGAGCAGTCAAGTATAGACAAGCAGCCAAGTGTAAACAAAGCAGTCAAGTGTAAACAACACAGCCGATTGTAAACAAAGCTGTTAACTTAAACAACGCCGTCAAGTGTAAACAAAGCAGTCAAGTGTAAACAAGGCAGTCAAGTGTAAACAAAGCAGTCAAGTGTAAACAAAGCAGTCAAGTGTAAACAAAGCAGTCAAGTGTAAACAAAGCAGTCAAGTGTCAACAAAGCAGTGAAGTGTACACAAAGCAGGCAAGTGCAAACAAAGCTGTTAACTTAAACGAAGCAGTTAACTTACACGAAGCAGTGCACTGAGCACAAAGCAGTCAAGTGTAAGCAAAGCAGTCAAGTGTAAACAAAGCAGTCAAGTGTAAACAAAGCAGTTATCTCAAACAAAGCAGTCAACTGAAAACAAAGCAGTCAAGTGTAAATACAGCTGTTAACTTAAACGAAGCAGTCAAGTGTAAACAAAGCAGTCAAGTGTAACAACAGCTGTTAACTCAAACAAAGCAGTCAAGTGTAAACAAAGCTGCTAACTTAAAGGAAGCAGTTAGCTCAATTGAAGCAGTCAACTCAAAACAAAGCTGTCAAGTGTAAACAAAGCAGTCAAGTGTAAATAAAGCTGTTAACTTAAACGAAGCAGTCAAGTGTAAATAAAGGTGTTGACTTAAACGAAGCAGTCAAGTCTCAATTTACCTGTGAACTTAAAGAAAGCAATCAAGTGTAAATAACGCTGTTAACTTAAACGAAGCAGTCAAGTGTAAACAAGCAGTCAAGTGCAAACACAGCTGTTAACTTAAACGAAGCAGCTAATTTAAACGAAGCACTCAACTGAAAACAGAGCAGTCAAGTGTAAACAAAGCCGTCAACTGACACCAAAGCTGTTAACTTGAACGAAGCAGTCAAGTGTAAACAAAGCTGCTAGCTTAAACGAAGCAGTCAGGTGTAGGCAAAGCTGTTATCTTAAACGAAGCAGTCAACTGAAAACAAAGCAGTCAAGTGTAAATAAAGCTGTCAACGTAAACGAAGCAGTCAAGCGACAACAAAGCTGTCAACCTAAACGAAGCAGTCAACTGATAACAAAGCAGTCAAGTGTCAATCAAGCAGTCAAGTGTACATAAATCTGTTATCTTAAACGAAGCAGTCAAGTGTAAACAAAGCTGTTAACTTAAACAAAGCAGTCAAGTGTGAACAAAGCAGCCAAGTGTAAACAAAGCCAGTCAAGTGTAAACAAAGCAGTCAAGTGTAAACAAAGCAGTCAAGTGTAAACAAAGCAGTCAAGTGTAAACAAGGCAGTCAAGTGAAAACAATGCAGTCAAGTGTAAACAAAGCAGTCAAGTGTAATCAAGGCAGTCAAGTGTAAACAAAGCAGTCAAGTGTAAACAAAGCAGTCAAGTGTAAACAAAGCAGCCAAGTGTAATCAAAGCAGTCAAGTGTAAACAAAGCAGTCAAGTGTAAACAACGCAGTCAAATGTAAACAAAGCAGTCAAGTGTAAGCAAAGCAGTCAAGTGTAAACAAAGCAGCCAAGTGTATACAAAGCAGTGAAGTCTAAACAAAGCTGTTAACTTAAACAATTCAGTCAAGTGTAAACAACGCTGTTAACTTAAACGAAGCAGTTAACTTAAACGAAGCAGTCACCTGAAAACAAAGCAGTCAATTTTAAACAAAGACGTCAAGTGCAAATAAAGCTGTTAACTTAAACGAGGCAGTCAAGTGTAAACAAAGCAGTCAAGTGTAAACAAAGCAGCCAAGTGTAAACAAAGCTGCTAACTTAAACGAAGCAGTTAACTTAAACGAAGCAGCCAAGTGTAAACAAAGCAGTCAAGTGTAAACAGAGCAGTCCAGTGTAAACAAAGCAGTCATTTGAAAATAAAGCTGTTAACTTCAACAAAGCAGTTAAGTGTAAATAGAGCTGTTAACTTAAACGAAACAGTCAAGTGTAAACAAAGCAGTCAAGTGTAAACAATTCTGTTTATTTACACGAAGCCGTCAAGTGTAAAGAAAGCAGCCATGTGTAAACAAAGCAGTCAAGTGTAAACAAAGCAGTCAAGTGTAAACAAAGCTGTTGACTTAAGCAAAGCAGTCAAGTGTAAACAAAGCAGTCAAGTGTAAACAAAGCAGTCAAGTGTAAACAAAGCAGTTAAGTGTCAACAAAGCAGTTAAGTGTTAACAAAGCAATCAAGTGTGAATAAAGCTGTTAACCGAAACAAAGCAGTCAAGTGTAAACAAAGCAGTCAAGTGTAAAAACAGCTGTTAACTTACATAATCCAGTTAACTTAAACGAAGCAGCCAACTGAAAGCAAAGCAGGCAAGTGAAAACAAATCAGTCAAGTGTAAACAAAGCAGTCAAGTGTAAACAAAGCAGTCAAGTGTAAGCAAAGCAGTCAAGTGTAAACAAAGCAGTCAAGTGTAAACAAAGCAGTCAAGTGTAAACAAGGCAGTCAAGTGTAAACAAAGCAGTCAAGTGTAAACAAAGCAGTCAAGTGTAAACAAAGCAGTCAAGTGTAAGCAAAGCAGTCAAGTGTAAACAAAGCTGCTAACTTAAGCGAAGCAGCCAACTGAAAACAAAGCAGTCAAGTGGAAAAAAAGCTGTTAACTTAAACGAAGCAGTCAAGTGTAAACAAAGCAATTCAAGTGTAAACAAAGCAGTCAAGTGTAAATGAAGCTGTTAACTTAAACGAAGCAGTTAACTTAAACGAAGCAGTCAACTGAAAACAAAGCAGCCAAGTTTAAGCAAAGCAGT